GGATTAGCGCCATGGGGTGCGAACAAGCCCTGTGGCCAGTCTGGGCCAGCTGTCCCGGCTGTGCCCCCTCCCTGCTCCTCCCGCACCGGGCAGAGCCTGGGAAGGTGGAAAGTCCTTGACTTAGTGTAAGCACTGCTTAGTGACAACTAAACCATTGGTGTGTTATCGACGTTATACTAAATCCAAACCACAGAACCATACCAGCTACTAGGAAGAAAATTATCCCAGCTGAAACCAGGACACTGGGATAGGCAGAGGAGTATTCCCAAGAAGGGGTGTTCAGCCAGGGCCGGTCTGAGGATACCTCTAGGTTGAGATAGAAAACCAGAATTTGCCATTTCTGAGGCAATAATGAGAAGTAAATTAGGCAGTAAAATATAAGGGTTCCCTGATGGGAAATTCCACTGCAGCAAACTATCTAGGAACACTTCAGGAGTGAGTGCACAGGAAAAGAGATCTCAGCATGACCTGGATGAATTGCAAAGCTGGTATTGAAAACTCTGGCAGTAAGAAAAATCCAGGCACTGGAGCATTTTGTGCATAGCTAAAAGGCATCGTATCTTTAAAGAACATAAATGATTGTTTCATGCTCTCTTCCGTAGAAGAGGGACTGTCACGATATGAATTGAACGATTGCCTTTGGCACCTGCGTGGGAAAGGAGGCGCGTGATTAGTGTAAGTGGTCTTGGGGCAGAGCCCCTTGAAACCTCTGCTTGGGGCTGTGAAAGGTTGATAAAGCATTTTACAAAGTCCTGCCTGAGTCCCCTGGCCTCGTGTCTCCCCAAAGGCCCACTCTCCAGCGAAGATATTTCCCTCTGTGTGGTTTGTGCCAGCAAATGAAGTACGCAACCTGCCATGGTAGGATAACAAGTAAGCTATTATTATAAGCGGCAACAAGGTAGGAAGACGTTTTGGAGACCTGACCCGAGGAACATGTTTAGTCAATGAGCCCTCATCCCTAACGATGAGCTGACTGCCCACACCAGTGCCGCAGGGTGCGGCGGGTCGGGAAGGCTGTGTACCGCCCAGTGTGGCCACCCCAGCGGGTCCCTGGTGTCAGAGAAACGCATCCAGGCACCACCTCTGCCTTGTTCTGAGCGGGGCATTGGCAGCTCTGCCATTAAGGATGTCGCTGATGAGACAGAGAAGTCCTTTTCGTTTGCTGTGCTGCATTCAGTTTTAGTCCTGGCTCTTGCGGAGCATGGTGTGTGTGACCTGCACGTGTGAGGCATCCTCTCTTTTCCTTATCCATTTAATCTGTCATCTTTGGTTGCTGCTAAAACACTTTAAAAATGTTTTAAACTAATGATGTGAGCTCACTAGTGTGAGGATTACCCTTCAGTTCAAAACTGAGTTTTTAAATTAAATCCAAGGGCAATGCGTTTCCTTGGCTTTGTGGGTCTCACCCCACCAGGCAGGTGGGCATCCGTGGCCAGTTAGAAATCAAACATACGGGAAGTTTTAGTGCACAAAGCCTGATTCCACAATTTTTGTGCCCTTAAACTTTCAGTAAATTGAGGTGAAG